TAAGGGAATTGGTTAAAACCAGACTAATCTTACAAGAGATGTGAAAAGGAATCCTTTGGACAGAGAAGCAACAGCAGCCAACAATAACTGACCATTAATACACATGATGATATAACCCAGAAATCAACCCAGCTTTGGAAGTATCCAAATTAAATAAGCCTTCAAGATTTTAAACAGGGAACCAGAGATATCAATTGACAAATGAGGACAACTACAAACCAAAAACAGGGAAAAAACTGTGTTGTTACAGAACTTCTAGATGGCAGGGAAGTCAAGTAAACTACATGATAGAACAGACTGTTCTACACTTGAAAAGAAATGAATAAATCACAGGGTAACCTCAAAGAAAAATGATAACTCTTCACATCAAAATAAAAAGAGGACCAGCACAAATATTTAGCAAATACTAAAACAATAACAACAAAGGAAGTGATAACACGATTCATAAACAAAACGAGCTCAGCACAGAAAATTATATGGAACAAAGAAATTGACACCATGAAAAAGCACATAAGAAAAATGACAGTAACAAATTCAAATTTGCCAATAATTACATATCTGGCAAGGGACTTATCTCTAAGATTTGTAGAAAACACCAATGCCTCAAAACCAAAGGAATTAACAATCCAATTGAAAAATGGGCAGAAGACATAAATAGACACTTCACTGAGGAGGATAGTAAGGTGGCCAGCTAATACATGAAGAGATGCTCACAATCATTGGCCATCAGAAAGATGCAAATCAAAACAACAATGAGATACCATCTTGCTCCAACACTAGTAGCAAAGTTCAATAAGACAGAAAATAACAAATGCTGGTGGGGATGTGGAGAGATTGGCACTCTCATACACTGCTGGTGGGACTGTGAAGTGATACAACCACTGTGGAAAGCAATATGGCAATTCCTTAGAAAGCTGGAATTGGAGATACCATTTGACCCAGCAATCCCATTACTAGGTATATATCCTCGAGAGGTGAGAGCCAGGACAGGAACAGATATATGTACACTCATGTTCAGCACAGCACTATTTACAATAGCAAAAAGATGGAAACAACCTACGTGCTCATCAGTGGAAGAGTGGATAACCAAACTATGGTACCTACACATAACGGAATGCTGAGCTCTAGTAGCGTAGTGCCTAAGGCACTTGATTGCTAACCAGAAGACTGGTGGTTCAAACCCACCAGCCACTCCTAGGAAGGAAGGTTGGGCAATCTACTTCTGTAGTTGATACCGCCTCGGAAACCCAAGGAGGGGTCGCTATGAGTCGGGTCCAACTTGACGGCACATAACAAAACAACAAACGCAGCATTAAAGAATAATGTAGAGTCTGCAAAACACCACATAATATGGATGAACTTGGAGGACATTATGCTGAGTGAAATAAGTAAATCACAGAAGGACAAATATAGTATTAGTTTGTTGTTGTGGAGGGTCAAGGAAAGGTTTATACATGGAGTGAAACTTTTTCTTTTTGTTGCCAGGGGTGGGAGGGCAGGGGTGGGAACACTGCAAAAAAAAAAAAAAAAAAAAATTGAAGCATATCACTTTAGTTCTGTGTATTTCACTGTACATAAATTATATGTCAATAAAATGCATTTAAAAGGAAAAAAAGAAAGAAAGATTAAGCCTTGGGAACCTTATGTGGCAGTTCCATTCTGTCCTATACAGTTGCTAGGAATCTGAATTGACTCAACTCGCTGTTTGGTTTTGGTAAATTTGGAGTTATATAACCTAAGTTCATAGCTGCACTTGAAGGAGATGTGTCCTCTAGGACAAATCCTTTTATTCTCTCTAAGTCTTGGTTTCCTAATCTGTTAGTAATACCTGTTCGTCATTTCACAGGGTACTTCTGAGCATCTGGAGACATAATGAATATGAAAGTACTTACCAATGATTAAGAGCTACATGAGCATGAATGACCTTGGGCATCCTGAAACTTCATTCACATTTCTTTTCAAATTCCATTTTCCCATCCTCAGGTCAAGAAAAATACACTGATCTATTTAGTTTACAAAAGAGTGAAAGAAAATGGATAGGGTTTTCAGAATAATGGAAATTTTCACATTGAAATGAAATGATCACTCTTCATTCAATCATATGAGTGCTATGGAATACTTATTAAAACTAATAACCTGAGTTATTTTATACAATTCATCTATGAAACTGAATTTGTCCAGAAGCAGCAAATGGTTTTATGAAATTCAGATGGAACCTGGAAGGAGCAATGTGGAAGGGAATTAAACTGATAACCATGTTAAAGTAGCCAATTATGTGAATGTTATGAAAGTAGAGTGCAAATAAAAGATTTTAAGAATCAGAAGTAAATCAACTGGATGTATTGGGAAGGAATTCTGTTCCTAAAATAGATACAAGAATATTTTTCAAACACAAATTCAAGTGCTTAAGTCTTCTTAAGCCTAGCAACATTTTAGCTTAATAGCAAAGAATGTTTGTCTTGAGCATTGTGTTCTTTTTAACAACTATCTGTTGTTGTTGTTATGTGCCGTCGAGTCGGCCCCGACTCATAGCGACCCCTCCTTGGGTTTCCGAGGCAGTATCACTACGGAAGTAGGATTGCCCAACCTTCCTTCCCAGGAGTGGCTGGTGGGTTTGAACCGCCAGCCTTCTGGTTAGCAGGCAAGTGTCTTAGCCACTATGCTACCAGAGCTCCTTAACAACTATCTAGACAGGATCAAATTGACAGCAACTTGAAAGGGTTGATAGGAAGCAGCGAGGGGCAGTGAGTTTATGATAACAAGGGAGAAATAATTTGGAAAAGGAATAAATGGTTGCTACAATCTGAAGAATACAATCAATGTCATTGAATTGTACATGTAGAAATAAAAAATTCTTCAAAATCTCTCAAAGTAGTTGTAGAGTATAACATTCTTTCTTGTCCTTCACTCTATGAAATGTTAAGTCAGGACAGTGAGACAGAGCTTCTGTCATCAATTATTCTTGGAATTTGCTAGAAAAAGGAAAGAATTTGGAATGGTCACCCTGGGTTCCACTCAGTTTCTCCACTTAGGAGCTATCTCCTTCTTCCTGAAAGGGAGCCAGTACTATCTGCTCTGCCAACACATAGTTGTTCTAAGGACCCAGTGCGCTGTCTCGGGAAGACAGGTAAAAATGCCGCAGTTACCGCGACCAGAGTACTGAGGACTGAGCAATGCAGTTAAACCTAGTCCCTCCCACTTAAAAGACACTTTGCTGAACAGAGAGAAAAGCAGCTCTCTTCACCTCGTCTTTTATCCCGTTTCAGTTTGGTGTAGGAGAAAGAGCACCCAAAGAGATTTAAGGATCTTGGATGCTGTTTATATCTTGTTCCTTATTTAGTTCGTTCATTCATTCCACAATCACCTGACTCCTGTTTAGTGCTGGACACTGGTTTACGTACTGGGGGCCCTAAAGAAGAAAGGGCCCAGAGTGTGGTCTCGGGTTGCTCTCGGTCTATAAGTCACTAGACGCATGGCTGCGGGATAGCTAGGTCGCGCGCGCTTGGGCTGAAGTTTCCCGCGGCCCAGGACCCTGCACCTTGGGGGGCTGCCCCAGCCACCGCCACCGCCACCGCCACCCGCACCCCAGCGGCCGCTAGCTCTGGCCGCGTCCCCATGGCAACCGAGGCTAAGCGGCTGGCCGGCAGTAAGCCGGGCGGGAGAGGCTGTAACGGCCTAGGCGGCCGCGCGGCACCCAAGCCGGGACCGCGGGAGCGCGTCGGCGGGCGGTGGGGCGCTCGGGGCGGGGCGGCCGGGAAGCCCCGGCGTCCCTGCTCCCGGGGTCTCAGACCTGTCGGGCAGGCGCGGCGCTGCGCAGGTAACCCGCCCACGGGCTCCCCGGCTTCTCCTCACCCTCTGACCTTCATCCCCTGGGGCTGGCGTGGGCCACCCTAGATGGGCGGGCGCGACCCAAACAGGCCATTTGCTCGGGGGAGACTGGAGCTGAACTGTGCGTGGGGCGGGGCTGGGGGCTGCGTTAGGTTCGGGCCGCGAAACAGCTGGAAAGACCTAGGGATGCAAGAACATCCTTTGCAGAATCCAGAGCAGAGATTCTCCCCAAGTTAGAAGTCTGGGTTCTAGTTGTGTGGCCTTGGACAAGTAACTTAGTATGTTATGCTTAGTTTCGCTGACATAAGTGAGGAGTTCGAGAACCAACAAAACCATTTATTCATTCCTTTCTGCTGGCCCAGTGTTGGCGTTCACCGCCCCTGCGCCTCGCCCCCTCCACTGTACGCAATTGCAGGATTTCCTTTAAATTCTTTTGATTTGGGAGTGGTATGAGCCCAGGACCCTTCGTCCTCATCTTACCACTTAGTCTGGTATTTGATTGACTTTTATTCAGTGATTTGGAGGAGTTGAAGTCATTTTAGATTTTTTGACCTTTTATCCTTATGGACTTTTTTCACTAAAACTTTGTTGCTGGGGAGAAAACCTTCTTTTACTTTAGGCAAATACTAATATAGCTGTTTGGTCAAGAGGATGAGCCAATGCCCATGGAACAATTGAGGAATCGTAAGATTTCTGTTTTCAGGCAATTCTTAACCTTTTTGCCCTGTGTATCATAGTTTATTAATTCCAGTAAAACTCAGAAAGGGCCAAAGAAATGATTTACTCAAATAAAGGCAATCCAAGTGAAAGGCAAGTTGGAGAACACCCAACTGCAACTCCTCTTGAGTAAGAATTCTATTTTCCTCATCCTCTGTACTGAGCACAGTGCCTGGTACTGAGCTATGATTCTTCAGTAAATAGTGAATGAGTGCTCATTTCAGTTCCACATATTTCAACTCATTACTAAACCAATGTCATAAATGCATGGGTTATCCCTCCACCAAAAAAAAAAAAAGTCCAAATTTCAATATTTTGTAGAATCAAGGGTTACTCGACTCAGGAAAACTAACACTGGCTTGCCAATAGCAAAATTTTCGGGTTTTATAGCATTTTAAGACTCCAGATATTTTTTTCCCTTCACAGATTAAAAGTCAAGAACCATAAACCAGAGTCAGCAGCTTCTCAACATGGAGAACCAGGCCCAAAATGCAATAGGGTAAGTGCTGAGAAATTCTGTTTAACAAGTTGATTTTTTAACTATGCCAAAAACTCCCTTATGATGCATGAATTTTGAAATTTCTTATTAGTAGAATGATATGTCAATTATTTTTGGTGAGAGTCAGGGAAAACTTAAAGTGATTATAATTACTAATCTATAGTGTAGTGCAGTTTTGACTCTCTGGATTTACACTTGACCATCACCATTTTCCAATCACTTTAAGTGACTTTGTCCACTGTCTTGGGGTGATAGGTGCCTATGTCCAGGAATCTGCCATTGCAGGCCTGGTGCACTCTTAGGTTCTCACAGTATAGCACCTCCTGGCCAGTTTCTCTCTTCTTGCTGCATCACGTGTCCCAAACTGCCCTGTACTCTTGACCTTATGGCTGAACTTGCCACTTCAACACAGCGCCAAAATAGATCCAACTCCGCAAAATAGCAACAAGGATGGATATTAAACCAGAATTTGTATGGCATTCTCCATCATAGAAATTCAGTCAAATTCCTTTCATAAACATCTGTCCCTACTTCTTCCCTGCCACTAGCACCACAAAGTTTCCTCTTGTTTCATTAGCCATTTGGCCACACTACATGAGCCCAGAGGCAGATGTGAGGGTGAGTGAACATATTTCTGTAGTTCCTCTTCTTGACTATGACCAGCCTTGGCACTTGTCGACAACTCCAGGTGTCTCACTTTTACTTACTACACTCAGACTTACTTTAATGTCAAGCAGAAGGAAAGCTGCACAAGTCTGGAGGATAATGTTGTTTCTGTTGTGAGGTGCTGTTGAGTCAACTCTGACTCATAGTGTCCCTGTGTAAAACAGAACAAAACACGGCCCAGTCCTGCGCCATCCTCACAATTCTTGTTATACTTGAGCCCATCATTGCAGCCACTGTGTCAGTCCATCTTGTTGAGGGTCTTCCCTTTCTTCACTGACCCTCTACTTTACCAGGCACGATATCCTCCAGAGAATGGTCCCTTCTAACAACATGACCAAAGTAGGCAGGATGAAGTCTGGCCATTCTCACTTCCCAGGAGCATTCTGGCTGCACTTTTTCTAGAACAGATTTGTTTGTTCTTCTGGCATCCTTCACTAAGACCATAATTCAAAGACATCAATTCTTCAGTCTTCCTTATTTGTTGTCTAGCTTTCACATGCATATGAGGCAATTGAAAATACCATGGCTTGGCTTAAGCACACCTTAGTCTTCAGAGTGACATCTTTGCTTCTTAACAGTTTAAAGAAGTCTTTTGCAGCAGATTTACCCAGTGCAGTATGTAGTCTGATTTCTTGACTGCTGCTTCCATGGGTGTTAATTGTAGATCCAAGCAAAATGAACTCTCTGACATCAACCTTTTCTCCATTTATCATGATGTTGCTTACTTGTCCAGTTGTGAGGATTTTTGTTTTCTTTATTTTGAAGTGTAATCCATACTGAAGACTGCAATCTTTGATCTTCGTCTTCATCAGATGACTTGAAGCACTTCATAATAAATACTTCAAATCATCTTCACTGTCAGCAAGCAAGTGTATCATCTGTGTATTCCAGGTTGTTAATAAGTTTTCCTTCAATCCTGATGCCACATTCTTCTTCATATAATCCAGTTGCTCAGATTATTTGCTCAGCATACAGATTGAATAAATATGGTGAATGAATATAACTGTAACACAGACCCTTCCTGATTTTAAACCAGACAGTATCCCCTTGTTCTGTTCAAATGACGGCCTCTTGGTCTATGTATAGGTTCCTCATGAGCACAATGAAGTATTCTGAAATTCCCATTCTTCACAATGCTATCCATGATTTCATGATCTACACAGTCAAATGCTTTTGCATAGCCAATAAAACACAAGGAAACATCTTTCTATATTCTTTGCTTTCAGCCAAGAGACATCTGACAGCAGCAATGAAATCCCTCATTTCACATCCTTCTTTTGAATCCAGCTTGAATTTCTGGAAGTTCCCTGTCAATATACTGCCGTGACCATTATTGAATTATCTTCAGCAAAATTTTACTTGCATATGATATTAATTATGTTGTTTGATAATTTTCACATTCTGTTGGATCACCTTTTATGGAATGGGTACAAATATGGATCTCTTCCAGTCATTTGGCCAGGTAGCTCTCTTCCAGATTTCTTGGCATAAACAAGTAAGTACCTCCAGCACTGCGTCATTTGTTGAAACATCTCAATATGTATTCCATCAAGTCCTGGAGCCTTGTTTTTCACCAATTCCTTCAGGGTAGCTTGGACTTACTTCTTCCTTCAGTACCATTGGTTCTTGATCATATGCTGCCTCCTGAAATAGTTGAAGAGTGATGAGTTCTTTTTTGTACAATGACTTTGTATATTCTTTCCATCTTCTTTTGATGTTTCCTGCATCATTCAATATTTTGTCCATAGAATCCTTAATATTGCAACCTGAGGCTTAAGTATTTTCTTCAGTTCTTTCAGCTTGAGAAATGCTGATCATATCCTTCCCATTTGGTTTTCTAACTCCAGGTCTTTGCACATTTCACTTTCATACTTTGTCTTCTCAAGCTGCCATTTGAAATACTATGTTCACCTCTTTTATCTCATCATTTCTTCCATTTGCTTTAGCTGCTTTCCATTCAAAAGCAAGTTTCAGAATCTTTTCTGTCATCCATTTTGGTCTTTTCTTCCTTTCCTGTCTTTTTAATGACCATTTGTTTTCTTCATATATGATGTTCTTGATGTCATCCTACAACCCATCTGGTTTTTGGTCATTGGTATTCAGTGCATCAAATCAGTTCTTCAGATGGTCTCTAAATTCAAGTTGGATATAATCAAAGTCATATTTTGGCTCTTATGGACTTGTTTTAATTGTCTTCAGCTTCATATTTGAACTTGCATATAAGCAGTTAATGGTCTACTCCACAGTTAGCTCCTGGACTTGTTTTGAGCTTCTCCACTGCTTCTTTCCACAGATGTAGTCCATCCAGTTCCTGTGTATTCCAAAATGGAATCTTTTTTAGATCATATGGTTGATGGCATATAAAAAGTCATTTTCTGGAGCAAGCAAGGTCCATGTGTATAGCTGCCATTTTTGTTGTTGAAAATAGGTATTTGCAATGAATAAGTTGTTTGTCTTGGAATATATAATGTGATTTCCAGAGTCATTTCTTTCTAAGCCCATATTTTCCAACTACTGATAATTCTTCTTTGTTTCTAACATTCACATTCCAATCACCAGTAATAGTCAATACATCTTGATTGCAGGTTTGGTCAATTTCAAATTGCAGAAGTTGGTAAAAACTTCAGTTTCTTCATCTTTGGCTCTAGTGGTTGGTGGATAAATTTGAATAATAGTATTAACTGGTCTACCTTGTAGGCATAGCGATACTATCCTATAACTTAACATACTGTACTTCAAGATAGACATGAAACATTCTTTTTGATGATGAATGCAGTGCCATTCATCTTTAATTTGTCATTCCTGGCACAGCACATCATATGGTTGATTCAAAATGGCCAATAGCACTGCATTTCAGCTTAGTAATGACTAGGATATTGATCTTTATGTGTTCTGTTTCATTTTTGACAACTTCTAATTTTCTTAGATTCATACTTTGTACATTTCATGTTCCAACTATTAATGGGTGTTTGGAGCTGCTTCTTCCCATTTTGAGTTATGCTCCATCACCAAATGAAGGTCTTGAAAGCTTTACTCCATCCACGTCATTGCAGTTAACTCTGCTTTGAGGAGGCAGCCCTTCCCTACTTGTATTTTGAGTGCCTTCCAACCTCAGAGGCTCATCTTCTGGCACTATATCTGGCAATATTTCAGGGCTATTCGTAAAGTTCTCCAGTAATATATCAGACAGTGTTTCACTGCTATTCATGAGATTTTCACTGGCCAGTTTTTTGAGAAGTAGACGGCTTGTGTCCTTCTTCCTAGTTTGTCTTAGTGGGGAATCTCCACTGAAACCTGTCCACCATGGGTGATCCTGCTGCTATTCAAAATACTGGTGGCATAGCCTCCAGCCTCACAGCAACACATTAGCCACCACAGTACAACAAATTGACAGACAAATGGTGGCGGATGATAATAGCATCACTTTTTTTTAGCTCCTATGGCATACTTTTCTTTACAACAGCCCTAGAGGTATTCTCATTTTACAACTAAAAAAGCTGTGTATATTGTTGTCTAAGTTCATGTAACAAAGAGATACTAAAATACAGTGGCTTAAGTAAGATTGAAGTATGTCTGTCCCATGTAATAGAGACAGTAAGACCATTCCTTTTAGTATAACCTGGAAGCAATACATGCATATCACTTCTGTTCACTTTTCTTTGTCCAGAACTAAGTCACAGAGCCATAGCTTGCTTGCAAGGAAGACTGGAAATCATGGTGTCTTACTGGTCAGGCATATGGCCAACTAAAGCTTACAAGCTCTGGTGGCATAGTGCCTAAGGCATTTGACTGCTAACCAGAAGGCTGCCAGTTCAAACCCACTAGCCACGCTTCAGAAGGAGGACTGGGCAATCTACTTCCGTAGAGATATTGCCTCAGAAACCCAAGGAGGGGTTGCTATGAGTTGAATCCGACTCGACAGCTGTGAGTTAAAGCTTAGTAGTTCTAAAATAAATGAAGAAGAATGAATATTTGTAGAAAACTAGCAGCCTCTGCCACACCGAGGCTCAGAAAAGAAGAAAGTGAAAGAAAGCAGAAACTTAACCCAGAATATACAATTGGTTAGTACAGGAGGTGGGATTTGAATTCAGGTATGTCTAGCTTCAATCCCTGCATTCCTTCTTTAACTGGAAATAGATGACAATGAAATGCGGGAACAGGCTGCTGAATAGCCATTGCAGAGCCAGGTTAGGGTTCTGGATTGAGAAGGTAAGCGTTGAGTCCTTAGTATAAGAATGGCATTAAAGGCTGAGATGCAGATTGAAGGTCTCAAACCTAAGTTTAGATACCAAATATCACTTTACGTTTGCAAAAAAGTCTTGAGGGCCATGGAG